ATTATGTAATCCATCTAGTAGTCAACCTATTACATAAAAAAATCTAATAGAAAGTGTAATAAGTACAATGTTATCCTTACATACAATTCACAACATAGTTATCTCTACAAGATAGAAATAAAAAGTAGCTATACACGAAGAAAAGTTAGCGGTGACTAGACAAAATAACTTGTAAGCGTACTAACTTCACTAACACGCCACAGAACATTCGATCTTGGTACAGTAAGTGGAACGAAAATGTTAACAAGATAACTAAATAAACTATTAACTACTACGATAGAATGGTTTATACTATTATTTTTATGTTCGTTTGTTGAATTATATCTTATAGCTGGCCTTTCAAGTGAAATATTTTTCTTGTTCAAACATACGTAGGATTTTTTGCCTTGTGTTAGTTTAGATTTAGTTTTTTTTGTTCAATTTATATTAAGACCTGTTTCAAAAGGGGTAATCATTAAATATCTAATTAATCAAATCTACACACTGGTCGGTAGAACCTAGGGTGTAGATTTGATTAGCTAGTTAAGTAGAGATTATAAAGAGTGTCAGAATCTTACTGATTAAAAACGACACCGTTCCTACTTCTGCTCAAAAAAAAAGGTAACGAAACTATCTGGTGACACAGGTGATTGCTGTCTCACTGGTTATTCGTCGTAAACCGCATGTCGTAAAAAATAGCTTAACGAACGAAATACGAACATTGATTGAAGACACAAAGAAAGAATCGGCATTATGAGACTGACTGGGAATACTCTAGCGATTGTTCGCCGTGATCTACAAATAACCCCTTTTTTCTCAGGGTATAATCATCGAATGGTTTCTCCCGCCCAGGGTGAGGCGAGAGGAAATGCCAGACTCTTACTGACGTAAAAACCCCCCTGTTCTTTCTCCTGTTCTGGGCCGAGGTCACGGTGCCTCATTGCGCTTACCCCGCAACCCCGGCTGAACATCAGCCCTATAGGGCCCCGTCTGTGGTGGTCTATTGGCTCTTTGAGGCGCGCGCAGAACGCTACACGCCGTATGCTCGGGCCTGGTTCTGGTCGGGCGGCGAGCTGCCCTTACTCGCCGATCGCAGACCCGCGCTTACTGTGGCCGGAGATCCGTGACGTGAGAAGGATAGTTGATTACCATTACTATCTACAAAAATGACCCTTGACCTCCCTTTTTCGTAACGTGCCTAAGTATTTGGATGGTTCCTTACAAAAATATCAACGAATTAACCTTCTGTCATCCCATTTTCGGATGACAACAGACAACATGCACGGACAAACTGAATTACGAACTCCCAAAAGTATTTAGCGAAGATTAAACTCAATCACAATTTTGTTAATTCAATTTTGCTTGGAAATAAATATACTTTGTACCTATGTGTCACATATTTACTAGCGGAGTTCAGGGATTATATAATAGCCGGTGATTTATATAGCAATGGATGTGCCATATACATGACGTGGTATAGTGTAATCTGAAACTTATTAAGATGACATTGATATCTATGATCACACATGAAAGAACTTGTCATACTTCAAGCAGAATTAAATGAGATAAAAAAGATACGTAAAATGAATGTTCTTTCAGCACAACTTTAAATAAAGTAGAAAATTCCCCGATTAAACTTGTTGGCAATCTTTTTCTTGAACATTCAAGTAACGAATGCCGCATCCAAAAGAAATAGCGGTAATCAACTTTATGACATCCATGTATCTTCGAACTGCACAAATTGCGTTCTTACAACGTATAAAAGTTGTTCTCGGCAATCAGCTGATTAAACTGAAGCCTGCAATGGAATGTAAGCTTTAACGTGGACGTAACAAAGTGTATATTGGATTGTGAAGTTTTTCTCCACATACGTGAAGACGTTACTGTCTTCCATGAATTTAGTAGTAAAGGAAATTAGATAAACTAGCCATTACGCTAGTCTTAATACGGTTTCTTATTGAACGTTCAACTAATATTTCTAAATAGATCGCTTCTATAGAACTTAGTTCGTACTTTTGTAATTCATTTAGGAAAATTCCTCTGTAGGTAAGTTCAATGTTCTTGAGTCTGGGTAATTAGAACGAAATAACATAATTTTCAATAATATAGGTACATCATAACATAGCATTTTATTTTTTAAAGGTAGGCAGAGTTTCAAGGCGAGTCCCATTTCCATGTTATACAGAATGGGCTTATACCAGACACAAACTCTTCATTCAATTTAATTCGCATTACATGACCACTTTTGATCTAGAAAAACTGTTTTAGCCGATCGTACACCTGAGCCGACCCAGGAATCGAGTACTTTCAGAATTAATGTTCATATTTATTTATTCTTTATTGTATCGCATATTCACACAATGGTTGATCATGCAAAAGTACATATTTTTGCAGTAAACAAAAATTTTTTTAGGTATGTTTTTTGTTATATTTTCAAGATGAGGGAGAATCATTAAATAATTTCAGATTCTACAAAACGTTTTTTTAAATGCCCCTCTTTAGGATTTTCTCCTGTGTTGTGGGTGCATTTACAAACACACAATGTCACATACACATGACACCCTGACCCGAAATAACAATTTGTGGATCACACAAAGTGTTGTTCCGTGCGGGAATCGAACCCACGACACGTTGCACGGTAACCAGTTGCCCAGCCATCGCACCAAACGTGCAGTCAAAACTATCTAAACTATCAAATCTTCCTGACTAAAAACCCAAATCACATTTTCACCTGGTCTAGTTCATAGCATCATTTGGTCAAGTTCATCATTGCACTTGCAACCCTGTAATTTCTAAAGAATCACCGCCATCATCCCAGATATTTTATTGATTTCTTACGTCTTTAACTGGCACCAAAAACGTCAGTGATCATTGACCGCATTGGTAGTGAATGGGTAAAACTAATAGGTATTTGCAAAACTGAATTTGTTATTCTTAAAAGAAACGCATTTCTCTAATATACCACGGCGTTGAGTTTCGCTGTGTGAGTTACGTTACCGGAGGCCCAATTCTTCTCTTCCCCCAGTCCTTAAATCTCTAAATTGCTAATCCCCAAAAGGTCGGCAACACACTCTTATCTTATCTGTTGTTGCGGGGGTCGATGGGTGGCGCTGATTGCTTACCATCAGCTAATAAGTCTGCATGTCAGCCGACCTAACACTTAAAAAAAATTTGCATCAGACTGTTAATGGCTAAATTCCATCCGTTCTTTGTCCTCCTCCGGGCTGGTTCGTGGTACATCATTGCTTTTACATTCAGGACTGGATTAGGTAACCACTAAATTACTCCAATAGACGTCATGATCGCCTTAAACATGTGTCTAGAGTCCAACATTACAGTAAAAAATTCCATTTAAACAATCGACAGATACTTCCATTTCCTTTGTTCTCGATAATATCACGTTGGATATTCTTTTACCCAAGTTTAAAAGCTAAAATAACTTTTCTCTTTGAGTGCAGCCGCGAAAACATAAGGGTGGAAATAATGTCTAACACCGCAGTTGTGAGTTTTTGTTTAAAATAGTTTCTAATCTAGGAATTGGTATAAAAGAGATTGTTTTAGAATTAACATGAATGAATCTATTCTATTTATATTTTATTAGTATGTAGGAGAAGAGGCTTTAGTTAATAGTTAACCTACAGTAACTGAAAATGTTAAGCCAAATACGATGTTACTCAAAACAACACGCCTATTCTCACACATTTTGTTCCCTATAATTATGTATTAAAATTTTCATAGACACAAATAATTTCACATATTACAATAAAGACGCCACAAAACGCGCTCTCCCGTACGTAATATAGGACCTTGTATTCCACATAGAAGTGACATCAGCGATGGTAGTGTGAAGTTTATCCCAGCACCTGTTTAACTTTAGAATTTCTTCGCGAATATACTTAAAATGTTGAAGTCTGAATACCAAGTATAAGTTACCGAGTTGCTAAGTTTTACTTTGATGGATAGATGAGTGGATGGATTACTTTGTCTTTTCACTATAAGTTCTGATGAACTAATATCATCATCACTAATATAATGATCATCATCAGCCTATTAGACCCTATTAGTAGTCTTGAATTCAGATCGCCAATACATCTATAGGGTTCAGAAGTGGTCTACAATTACTTCAAAGTTAAATTCTTTTGGCAAATAACTTATACATATGTATAGTGTCACAGTGTTAGTTTACTCACTCTTAAAAGGCTTTACTGATTTTTACCGAAGTTTATATGCATATTCATTCAATCATAGAACCCGATTCTCAGCTTTACCAGCGATTTTTTTTAAACATAATTTTTCGGAACATGACTAAATAACTTTTGCGGGTTCAGATAGTTTTATAGATTTTTACATTAAAAGAGATGTACGGACAAAAATGTCAATTAATATCGCTCAGATAATAAAGTCACTATTCAAGACTAAATTTAATAGAAAATCTAAAATTGAAACTTATCCGAATATCAAGAGAAACAAATCTCTATGTAATAACCGCGGGAACGATAAATTGTTGGAAAGCTCCGCTTATCAGATTTAAATATCCGCAGACCGTTAGTACTGCAGTCTCTTTTCATATTACTAGCCGAGTCTGATATAATTAGATGAATCTACTGTTACCACCGACTCAAGTTATAAGCTGAAAGCTGAAATATTCAATCAAAATTCAGTTCTATGCTATTGCAATAAAAACGCATTCACCGTGATTAATTAATTTACATTTACAAATAGTTACTATAAGTATTCGAGAGCCAAGCTTCGGCATGAATGGGTCGGCTTCGGCCGGAGTGATACCACGGCCTCACACAAAACCGGCGTAAAACAACCACAATGTTGTGTTCGCCATTCATTAATTCAGTGACAAATAATTCTTGATATTTTCAGTTTCGTTGCAAATAATACATTTGTCTTTATCTGTCCCATCAGTTTACTTCCTTGAAACACATAAACCAAATCACTTAAAAATCAATATATCTACGAAATATGTCTGATAAATGTACAAAGTGTGGGAGAGCCATGCTTCGGCACGAATGGGTCGGCTCGACCGGAGTGATACCACGGCCTCACAGAAGACCGACGTGAAACAACGCAGCGTTGTGTTTTGCCGTGTTAGTGAGGTTACCGGAGGCCCAATCCTTCCCCGCCCCTAATCCCTCCTCAATCCTTAAATCTCCAAATCCCTAATCCCTAAAAGGTCGGCAACGCACTCGTAACTCCTCATTGCTTACCATCAGGTAATCCGTCTGCTCGATTGCCGACCAATTACATAAAAAAAAACAAATGACATGTTTTCATTAGTGCCAAGTTCTTTTTTATGTAAAAAGCCACATCATTATATTTTATATGCTCTTTTCCCTCTTATACATTAAACCAATCAGACTTGCTTAACGAATTCAATACCTCGAGTGTTCGTTAGCAAAGCTTGGTATTATAATCAATGGACTTGCCTGATAAAGGCATCACCAGTGCAATTTGTATTGACTGGGCTGGCAGAATGGCGAATTGAGTTAACTCCTGAGTGGTTTGCGGTCGGGAAGTAACGTGTTTAGAAATACGTTTATTTTTCTTTTAATCTATTTTTGTTTTGATTTATTTGGAGTAGAATCAGTTCATTAGAGGATTTGTTTTGGTTGTTTGTGTAACCTAGTCTTATATACACACATACATTTGCATATAAATGTATATGCACTACATACATGTAGAAGTGATAGGTAAAGAAGGATTTCAGTTTTGAATGTTATAGTTAGACATAAGTGAATGTTTTTTAAGCGATAGGTCGCCAAACGATCAATCGGATTACCTGATGGTAAGCTATCGGCGTCGCTCATGGTCACCCGTAACCCAAAAGAATTGCGAGTGCGTTCCGGGCTTTTAGGGAATAGGAATACGGAGAGAGTCAGGTTGAACCGACCCATTCGTGCCGAAACTTGATTCTCTCACACTTCAGGTTCAAGAGATCTAGTCATGTTCTTTTTGGAATCCTCAGCTTGTTTTAAATTTATGCCCTAGATCTAGAAACATTTATGGGTTGGCTATTATGGTAAACTAAAGTTATTGATCTTTCAGATATTTTTCCTATGACTACATGAGTGACGTCACGGAAAACACATTTGTCCATTATTAATTGAGGAAAAATCCCTAAAGAACAAGACAAATTAATGAATAAAGTAATTTTAGAAGATTTTCCGATACGTCCCATTTGGGCTTAAAGTTTATTGAACAAATTCACAAGAGAGAGTATTATTCATAAATAAATATTGAAAGGTAATTATGATCGTATTTGAGAATTAAGTAGCAGAGGAAGCTTGTCAGACGAAATGAAACCTTGTTTACTGTTGTCTAAGCTCTAAGTTTGTATTTATGACAGGTTTTTTTCCTTTTGATCGTAGTTACAAAGTGAATATTAAGCAATTTCTTAAAGTTTTTGGTAATATGTACAAGAAAACAATAGAAAATATTGAGAAGTATTTTGCTCGAAAGAAAATTGTTAATCGAGTTCGATATTCTTTTGTTTCTGATTATTCGTTATAGATGTTTTTGTGAAATGTACAAACTAAATTTCTTTATCCTATTGAGTTTATTAAAAGATGATAAATACATTTTAAAATGTGCCTAATGAGTCAGGCCCACTTAGAACCATATCCAAATAAGGAATCCGTTTACATGGTATACGAGTATGTTAGAAATTTACCGCAGGACTTCATAACATGAATGCTAAACGGTTCCATCGCTATCGATTGAGAGGTATAATATAGGCCATTGAATTTGAATAGAGCAGTTGACAGCGTTACGTATGTGACCCACATCTATACATATACACATAGATATATGTATATAGACAATAATTCCCATTACTGATAGATACTCGTCATGGTTCTATAGAAGTTAGATTGTGGTCTAGCTCTGCAGTAGAACTATTAGATTAATTGCTGTTTACATAGTTTAATAGCACTTTTTCAGTGCTATTAAACTGACAAGCATCGACATTGTGGTTTTTGTATGAAGCGCTATGAGGAAGCTGTTCTAAAGGATATAGTATAACCCAATAGTATATAAATCACATATTTCATTATCATCACATCATATCATCAGCTTATAAGTGTCCCCTGCTGAGCAAAGGCCTCTTGTCCCACGGAGAAGATTTGAGCAATAATCACTACGCTTGCTCAAGGTGGACTGGTGATACCAAACTTATAATTAGATTTTTTTAGTTCAGGTGTCCTCACGGTGGTTTACTTAATCTTACATTGGTGTTACTAGGAAAAAGTCACATTGGTACTTGCCAGGTTTTGGACCCGCACCCTTATGCTTGAGAAATGGACGCCTTAACCCAGCCCGGAGGCTACCTCGACAAACGCATTTAATAAAGGTATAGAAAAGTGTTTTCAGATAAATTTCAACATTTAAATTGAAAAACACATTTTATACTAATAAATATTTTATTATCATTATTTTATTCTAAGCTTCATGAAAACTACAAGAACCACTCGCATTGCACAAAACAATTATTTACATATCACATAATACATAACATCTAGAAAAATCTAAAGCATTTTTAGAACATGCTATCAATCCCACAGAACACATGTTCTCCAGGCCAGACAAACAAATAAACTCACAACAAAATCGACTTACATACCAAAAGGAAACACATTTTAATACTAAACACTATACGGAACTCCATCCATCTCTGTTGAGCATCTGGGACCCAAGTTATAATCGGAAAAAAGTACTGCTATGCTATGAAACGAGCAAGTTGCCAAGTAACCAAAGTTTCCACGACACTCCACTGTTGCTGGACTTTTAGTTGGTTTTTATGAAGTTTTCAACGGAACCCCAGTTTTATCTTGGACTCTGGATCTTTTTGAAGTAAAATTTGTTATTAAGAATTTGCCGTTCAATGTTTGAACGTTGACAAAGACTTGGATGTTTCGCTTCGGTTGATAATGATCGACTTACTTATTTCGTTGTGTCGTCTGTTCACGGTATTTTAAGATGTCTTGTGTTTTTTGTAAAAGAAAGTGTAATTATCATTGTTCGCTTTTTCGATTGTTGTGTATGAATATTGTGAAGTTTTATTGTGAACAAAAGATCTTTTGTAGCGTTTAAATGGTTAAATTTTTTATCAATTTATTGATACTTCAGGTTCAGGTTCTTTGTTTACTCATCAAGAAGACAATAAAAATACAACCCATATTTTATATGCTACGATACTTTGCTGTTCATTGGAGCATACAATCAACACCACCGACGCACATTGCTAAACTGATATTGAGTATCCTTTTTTAAACTCGCCATTTTGTATTTTAATAACCTCTGTCATCAAAATTCAAAATGGCGCATATTTCACAATAAGTTTTCTCAAAAACATCCTTTAACAAAATGCATCTTAAAAGTTCATGCAGGCAACATACTTATTTATAGTTTTATTGTCGCCCTGGGAGCTAAGTTTTGGATAAAAGAAAGTTGCACTTCGCCCAAGTGTAGTAACCACGTACATAGTTGTGCTTAGAATGTCGTGAACTGAATTTCACTTTGCAGCAGTATATGTATTGATGTACCCATTGCTTGTGTCAAACGAATTTGTTTTACATTTTTATCGCAATGCTTTCCATAGATGTTAATTTAGCTTAACGACACTAGCCAATATGAAGATATGAGTTAAATGTATATGTTGCATATATACTTATGTACCTATGCTTATTATAATTATTATTTGTGTCCTTGTTTAGAACCTATTGTTAACACTTCTCTGCATCACTCTTGCAGTTGAGTGGTAGAGAATGCCTTTGGGCATTAAGTCCGCCTTTGTATTAAGAACGTATAGGCTTATAACCTAATGGTAGGCCATCAACGACGCGCCTAGACAACCACAAAAAGCAGAGGAGTTGGGGGTTGTTCCGCATTTAAGTTGGTTGTGTGATTTTTTATTATGACGGCGCGTTGATTATTTAATTTGAATTTTGAAGGAGGTTTTAACACAATTCATCGGATGAGGGTGCAATGAATCCACAGAATGAAGCGTACTCTGGCTAAACGTCAAACAGACAGTTCTGCGCATTACGGTGGAAAGCGAGCGGTACTGTGACTGTCATGGGTGACGGATCGCAGACGTCCGTTATTTTTGTGGTTTATTCGGTCCGATTATAAAAACCTACGCCCAGCGATGGACCATAAAGACGATGATCGGGATGTTGATGTTTGTACAGCTAACAGCTTCCATAAATAGAAGCTTTTACGCATTTCGAATAAACGAAGGAATAGAAAAGACCATGTGTAGTATTGAAACTGATATTCAACAAAATATGTGAGTACTTCAGCTTGAATGGCTCAATTCGATCGATTTGATACCATAGCTTAAAAAACGGATGTGAAATAACGCTTGCTTTGCATATCCAAGGCCTATCTTTCCTCGTCCCACTCAATCCCCTATCCCTAAATCCCCGAAAGTCGAGCAACGCACTTGCTCCACTCCGCTCCGCGCTCACGCGCTCAAATGTTGTGTAAATATATGAACTTGATTGCCACGGTATCACAAAAAATATGCCGTGAATCAACACGTTACCCCAAAAGTCCTCAAAACACCCAAACCACTATACTTATAATGAGCCACAATAAATTACAAATAACCACAGCCGATAGTGGCAAGGGTCATCGCACTAAACGAGTGCGACCGCAACAAAGTGGTCGCTGGTCGCAAACCGGTCGCTATGAGCTATCAGTTGCACTCGCTACAAAGAGATCGCCACAACGCCAACCGCATCATTTAAAATAGTGCTCTTTTATTTATTGTATTGTATTGTATGATATTTCACTTCCATTGTAAGCTAGGGATTGGGAATCGAATTAATTTATTTTAAAATAATTTTATATAATTTGTTTGGGAGTGTTGAGTGTTTGATTACTGTGACAATTGGTCGATGTAATACAATAGGATTCGGAATGTAATTGTCATGATAATCTGAAAACAAAAGACAGAGAATATTGCCCTCCTTTTTTAAAAAAGGACGTTGACTCTTCTGTGATTTTTCCCGGGCTATGAAACATACAAAGACACATTACACATCACACTCAGACCCACAACAATTTGTGGATAACACAGTGTGCACAGCATCCAATCGCTTAACCATCACACCAACTGTGCAGTCTAATATTTTATTAAGAAAACATGTTTCTAAAAAGCAAGAGTAATTTTGAAAAAACTTTGGTACAACAAACAGACACATGGTAACAGATATCTCTTAGAATTGCGTATAATAAATCAATTTTTAACCAATCGACTGTAGCAAATACCAACGAAAGAAGAACAACGAAATACACTACAAACTTTTCCATTTATAAATAGGTCAACTACATACATTGAACCCACGACAATGTGACACAAAAAGCCGATTACCTGCAAATCGCCTCCCACCCCACATTGATACTACTTGCCATCATCCATCTATCACTTGCAAGTAAAATCAACACAGCTAAGTTTACGTTCAAGGCACGAAATGCCAACATAATGCTTCGCGACAGCCCTTGTGATGTATAGCTTCAACCCACGGGGGCAAAACTTTGAGCCGGCTAAAATCCCAAGGGTTGAAAACTAGTCGTCGGTAAACAAAAAAAATGTGAGGTTTTTTGTTTGGTCTTGTTTCTGGGACATACGGATATAGGGGTTGAAATGCATTGCGCGTGCCTGGCGTGTTTTGTGGGTGACTTTTGTACTTTTTTTGGACTGAGAGTAACAATCGTGCTTTAAATTGGTATTATTAATATGAAAAAAAAAAGTTTTTATTATGAAAAAAAATGTTTCTACTTTTTATCACACTTCGGTGTCATAATATCATACTTTAACACAAAAAAAAACATATTAGATAACGCGTAACTGGCCCCTAATAAATAAATAACACCTAAAGGTAGACCGTTTTT